CCCTCCACAGAACCCCCCTCCTTTCCACTGTGATTGGCTGTGATTCAGATCAAACAGGAGAGAGGCAGCGTGTCCTGACAGTGGAGCCTCATGCAGTGGAGTCGCACGGTGGGCTCCTCCTCGGCTGGATTGGACTGTATGAAGATAAAAGTCGGCGAGATAAATGTCAGCGGCGTCTGATGGCTTTGGTCTTTGTTAGACATTCACGGCGTATCGGTCGGACTTGATCTCTGTTGACTCTGCTGGCCTGCAGGAAGCCAAATGGCGACTAAATTTAGGAAACCTTTATTTGTGGTACTTGTTATGCAGGGCTGTGCTCTCCAGCTTTTAGTGTTTGCTGCATGCGGGTTGATTACTGATTGCAGCTGACTGGAAATGGAAGGCAATCACTCGCCGAGTATTTTAGCAAGTCATGTGATTTCTAGGAACATTGCAGTGTTTATGTTTTGCTGGTTTTTACAGTTCACCGAATCGTGTTCGCAGGAGAGACTTTGGCCTTCGTAAAACCATTTTAAGAAGTGGCAGCTGTGAACGTGTGAAAGTTTTTGTGAAAAATTCAGGTTTTTCTTCTTTAAGGTAAGAGTTCAGCTAAAACACAGGGTTAAAATAGTCAACGTGTAACTGGTAGATCCTGCTTTAGCTCTCAGTTTCCCTGCAGGAAGCTGCATTTTCCATCATTCCATGTCGCTCTGTTACTCTGTCTGTGATTGATCAGGCTTCCATTTAGAGCAATTCCTAAAGTCAGATAGTTGATTGGAAATCGTTGCTCGTGTTAATTTCTGGCACTTGGGACAGTTTTTGATGCCTGGATGTAAAGCCGTGGTATTACCATCGATCGCCTCTGGAGTCAGCTCCTTTCTGAACGTCTCGGTTCTGTCAGATTTCCAATTCCTTTTAAAGATAATCGACACGAGTATAGAAAAGGATGTCGGCTAGTTTAATCGTTCTGCTTTGAGAAGAGACCAAACACTGACGGAGCTCTGGATTGGATTGGCCTGTTGAAGAAAATATGTGTGGAGTTGAAAATTATTTTTGTATTTTTTTTTCCAAAAAAGTGCTTTAGAATAGTGTCTAAGCAGTAGAAGTATTTTTTTACCCATCTAGCTTTAAAGTGGTTGTCTGGTTATTTGACATCGTTCTCCATATATTCGGGTGAAATATTTAATATCTCACACTACATGTGGTATTTGGTATCAGATATGGGTTAGTACATCAATTAAAACCACTTTATCTTTCTTTAATGTGTTTTAAAGACTTACTTTCACCACTATTCAAACGTTTCCATGGTTACGTTCCTTGTTAGTTCTCCTGTAGGTACTTTTTGTGACGTTATTCCAAACATCCTAATCAGCCGAGCTTGATTTTAATCCTCTTGCTACAGGCCATTGTTGTTTACATCTTAACTCACATTATTTAATGTCGTAATTATTAGAACATAGGTGACTGTAGATAATTTTGCTATATGTATACCTTGCTAATATGAACATTGCGTTTAGCCTGCTAACACTAGCTTTAGCATGCTCTGATGGCTCAGGCTGTTCATCATGAACTGGTTTTTCTGTTGTAGGGTTGTCAAAACAAGCTGTATCATGATATAACCAATAATATAACAATTAAATACTCAAAGATACTAATTTACTTCATAATCAGTATAAACTCACCCATTGACCTTTACTCAAATTCTCACACTAAGCCTGGCAGTAGTA